TTTAATTTGTTTATAGGTTATTCAAGAAATAGCGATTCCATTAATCACTGAGTTGTGCAAGAGAAAGTCCTTTGTATTGAAGAATATATTCTCCAAGTACTGTAAATACAATCACCATCCAATAATTGTTACAATTACCAAAGCTAAGAGACACGCTGGTCTTCCTGTGRTTTTTGTGACGTCATTTCTGAAGGCCAATACAGTGGAATTATCAACAGAGCTGGTGTGGGTGACTACCGTGGACAAAGTGTTATTCATAGACCAAGCTGGAGTAGATTTAAACAAAGTAAAGAGTGTTGTATTGAACGGTGAAGGATAAGGCGTTATCTTTGATTCAGAACTCTTGAAAGTTGTATTTGGGGACCCTCCAGAACTCTCTGCCATTGAAGTAGTCTGTATGATGCCACTAAAGTTGCCATAAAAAGATTTGTTTTGATTTGTTGGTAAGAATCCGCCAGAATCCGTAGCCAAAGGCGCGACTTTTTCAGATGTTGGTGACGTCATTGTTGACTTTTGTGATTGAGGTGGAGTGGGACGAATTTGTGACGTAGCGAGCGACGTCATCTCATTGGAAGATAAGTTATGGTGTGATGATGCTTGAACTGTAGGGCTTTCTGCAAAGAGACAAAAAATAATGTTTGTCAAATCTCGCAAGAGATTTAAGAAGATGTCTCCTGATATACAACAAGCGTGGATTTGTTTTTCTTTCCAAATTCCTTACCASTTGAAAGCTGCGAATCAGTAGAAGTTGCACAAGAATCACCATCATCGCAATCTGGGCCAAGAGGTCCGGACCCTGATGCCTCGGCTGGTGAACCACACATATCCTCGTCATCAACTCCATCGCACAGTCTCTCCTTGTCAGGGTCAACCTCTCTGGAACAGTTCACCAGAGGACTGGGGCTAGGAGGTATCAGGTGGTATAGATTACTTGCATTCAGTGCACCGTAACCAATCAATTCAAACGTATTATCCAAAATAGTTTCATCAATGACGTCAAATTCGTCAAACTGAAACTGCTGTAGAAAGCCTGTAAAGTTAGCACGTGATAGCGAACGATTAAAAGCTTTGGTCAGAGGTCCACCACCAAAGAGCATGTACTCTCTCCCTCCTTTAAAGTCCAAGAATGAAAACTTTCCAGGAATGGCGGCATGGATGGGTTTCTGTCCGTCGACTGTCATCTTGACACGACGTTGTAGTCGGTTGATGGTGACAGAGTGCCAAACTGCGTCATGTAAGCAGCCATGACGACTCATTAGTACCAGGCCACCTGGAAAAAATACAGGATGACCAATTATAGTTGTTTCTAAATATATTTATGACGGAAAGGTATATTTCTGAATCAAATTAACATTTTGGTAAGAGGCTTTTGATACAAGCATCAACAAATTAAATCTGGACAAAATTACATATGCGCATTAATTTAGTGAAATGGCCTATTTCGAAATGGATAGGGCAACCCGGTAATCCGCTGTAGCATGTCTACCAGTGAAAATTGGCTGTGACAGTGATTTAATAGCTTTTATAGACCATATTTTACCTGGTTTTTCTCAGTTGCACTTTGAAAGTATTCTTCGTGAARAGTTCAAATTCCCTACCTTGTCCCAGGTCCCAGCTCACTCTTAGAAACCCGTTTACCAGTTCCACCAACACGTGATCATCTGCTATATCAGTYAGCAACAGGACCCCTCTGGGGTTTGTGGTTGCAAAACGAAATGCAATGGTATTAGCCACAGTTGATCTGCCAGGGTGATGAACACCTACGTCATACAGTAGGTAACCGCTGCCATTCAAGAACAAAGACGATGAGGCTGAAATAGAAGTCCGCAATGAGAAAATATAATAACTCAATAAGGACAGAGAAACAATTGTTGTGAGTATTCATGCACTTAATTATATCAAACAATWCATGTGKTTGGGACTGCCYGTCCTTTTTACTCAAGGCCAGGTTTCTAAGGAWTTTAAAAATGGCGTATTGCCTGAGGGTTGCTGTCGAGTACGTCGCTTCAATTGAYTGATGCATCATTTTACACTAGTAGCTCTATCGAGCGGTTAATGAATAGTTGTATTTTGACTTTTTAACGTGGCCACCAAATTGAGGGTCACCGCTTAATAAGGGGCCACTTAACGCATATTTTGTAATGTATAATRTAAATAAACTTTCTGATTTCAACTCACGTTCAGAACACACTGATCCATCGTARCCAGTAGCAGTACAATCACAAATCACGTGGCCAATTTCATCGACGCATTTGCCTTTATTCTGACATTTGTTTACATTGGATACGGCGCATGCGCTTTCGCAGCCTCTTTCTCCAGTTGTTTGYTTCAATGTAGCGTCAACTAGTTTGCCTTTGTGGTTTGAGAATTTTACGTCGCCGATGCAGCCTTGAAATCTAACCAAAAGTGAAAAGATCATTAGAATCAYCARCGAAGATTATTTCTACTGACGCTGGTAATTTTAAACGGTTGTCGCCGATATCATAATTTTTAAGRTKCASGAACATTTCACTATAAAAATTCACAGATTATGAATCGTGCTTTCATGTCAGTTAATGGTTTTGGTTGTTTTAATTGAACAATAAACGTAATTAAGTGATATCGAATCTTGATGAAATTACTTGAATTTCTACAACCTGCCCAATGTGAATGTAATGYGTTTTTTGCATACTCTTAAATCAACCAATCGACCAATCACTATGAATATTAGGATCCAGAATAATAAAAATAATAAATTGATGGTTTTGTGAGTCATACCTTGGCCGAGCACAAAAACCTGATTTTAAACATCAGAGTCATTTATAATTGATGTCATTTCACCAAAGCTATTTTTCTTTATGCCTGATTTGTTTAAAGTCGATTGAATKGAATAAATTGGCTGTCTTAAAGAGTAAAAAACAACTTCATTAAACCATTAATCTTGTCCTGTTTTTTATACCTCCCTGTTTTTAAACCTTTATTAAGCTAATGCATAATGATAATTCGCAACAAAAAGAATCGGCAAAATTACCGAAAAATTTATACTTTTGGTTAATATGATAGCTGGACATGACTGAATCGCTGATAACAACATTTCATGAGTAAAATTCAAGCACTSTACTGTAAAATGTTTTTGTTTCTTGTCAAAGGTTAATACTTGTCTAGTAAGCATCGTTATATGTGCCTTATTTTAATTCCGCAGTTCCAAAACGGAACTTCWGAGATCGAGTAGGAAAAACTGTTTTGCCAATACTTAAAACCGAAATATTTCAAATTCTAAATCAATTTGTTTCCGTTTAYATAACGACAAATATCGTGTCCTTTGGCTGAAAAACGGTTTCRCTAACAAATTAGCTAGGATAATATTTTCTTTTACCACTCTGACCACATTGAAACCGTACAATTGGTTATTTCATTGTTGGCGTTCATAAATAYATCAGTGAAAACAGCCGTATACTACGCATTGGCCATTTGACGAAGCTATATTCCATACCTGTAGTACAAGCCCTCGTGAAAAGCACCGGGAAATACAATGTTGTTCAACGAAACAACAGGATTAAAGTTTGCAATATACAGAAAGTTATCATAGTACTTGAATCGTTGATCCTGAGACCCTGCGCACGGGAACCACGAGATGTTGTCGTCCAAGGAAATTGTACAGTTATCTGACTTTCTGACGATCCGGAGCTTGTGCCAAAACCCGTCGGAAAAGTTCTCTCCGATAAAGATCTTGACAACATTATCACAACTTCCAAGGCAGGCTTTTAAGCGCACACTACCTTCTACGAGGAACACCTCCATGAAGCTATGTTTCCCGTCATCTTGGTAGACGAGCAATCCATTTTTTTGAGTCGTCTTAAAAATAAACGTTAGCTCCCCGCGAAGATTCCAGGGCTGGTAGTAGGAATACTTCGAGGCTTTGTAGCTTATCACATTTCTTAACTCTAGCTTCCCCAGGCAAATGCAAAACAAAGTAAAGAATAAACTGAAAAATAATCGTATTTTAGCCATTTAAAAAGCTATTAAAAGCTTTTTTACATTTCAGATGATTCTTTTGTTGTCAGTTGAGTAAGGAGAGMCTAAGMAATCACTTGGAATCGTCTTTCACTCGCAAAAAAGGGAAACACTCAAGGCTTGTTTGTGAAATATGCAGAACATCCGTTTGAAGWCAGTTTTTTATATCATTCAGGGATTTCYGTCATGACGAGCAACTCCGTAAGTTCTGATTGGATGAGATCATTGGTTGAGGTTTCTTTGAGGTTTCAGCCAATAAGATGCAAATTGAAGAGGATTTTTTTTGTACAGTTTTTTAATCGATGTTAAGTGTACAAGCATCTGTGCAATCTCCTTATTCATTTAACTGCACTATTTGTGTAAATAGTTTACTTTCTTATCTCAGTATAGGTGCAGAATTCATTGAGAAGGTTATATAAATCCTATGTCGATGTAAAGATGATCACAAAGGACACTTTCTCCCTACAGCAGGTTCTTTTAATCATGTGGTCAATGACTGATTCCTAATCTGGATCACCAAAAGATATCTATGTATTCAGTGACGGAATATCTGAAGGTTGTGTAGCTTGTAGACATGTTTGTCCATTTAGTTTAGTCCTTGAAATTCAACACAGACGCTGTGTCAAACAGTGAGAGCTGTTGAGGAAACAGGAAATGCTAAATGCTTGATTAAGTGGATGAATTAGAGAATCATCGCGTCAATTTAGAATGAAAATATTTTTCTTTTCTGTTGATATAGATTGAACGGCTGATACGTATTACTCTTGTATGTGTCTACTGCGCATGAGCGGAGATAACRAACTCTTAAACAATCACTGATGTACAATATCAATGGAAAATCGTAGTTTTACTATTCGATTCATCTTCTATATTCTTGTATTTTTGTCACGATAGGTTTYTGGACAAGGAAACAGTATATTATATGACAGGTTTCTGGATCCTATCAGAGTTAAACTGCAAACTGTTTTATTTAGAAAATACTAGAAGTTTTGACTAAAGCTGAYTCAGATAACAATCAACTTGTGTCGGGCCAGTTGTAATGACAGTACAAAAAAACAACAACATGAAAATCAAACAAGAGGCGTATGAAACACACACAAAAAAGCATGTTTCATTTACTTATATTATGGAACATTTTAATAAGTAGAAATGCAAAGGTAAATTCTTCATTTTTTTGGTCAATACTTTACTTTTTTTTGGTTCAATACTTTTTTTAATGCAGCAAATAATRACAATAAAAAATAAAAATGAAAATAAAATCAAAAAGGGAGAAAAGAAAGAAAGAAAATSAGAAGGGCGCGGGCATAAAGTATTTGTTGTTTCTTGTTGTCGGAATGACCGCGAGGTATCACGGGATGTTCAAATATCCCGCAATACCTTGTGGTCAGACGATCAACTGTTTATACAAATTGCTCCATGTAAGCCAGATTAGATCTCCTGGAAGTTTTGTGATTTGCTTTCTGCAATTCACCAAGCTCAAAGCAAACAAGATAATAATAGGAACAAAAGGAGGAAATAAAGTTTGAATGAACCAAACAAACATGTGACATATGACGTAGGACCGAAATGCACTTTTAAAAAATCGTGACAAAGAAAATAATGYAAGCAGTGGGGGCAGTTTCTTACTCATTCTACTTACCTTGATAAATGAACAATTATTGTATCCTGTCTCTTAGCGTGAGCTGAATGAAAGACTCACCCCTGAAAGAAGYCACTTTTAAATTCCCAAGGTCAATGATTAGGTCAAGAGCCACTCATTAACAGTTCATTAAGASACAGTCAGTGTAGAATATTTTTGCGGTGTACATAATAATGACTTTCTGTTTATTTGTTTTTGCYTCATTTGTCTTCTTTTTACCTCTGCAATGAACGATTTGGTTATCGTCTCAGTCACACTGAAATGTGGGATGATTTTTGGGCCAAATTGACCGAGTAGCTCTGCTTCCGAGTCTCCACTTTGTACCGCTGAGCATGTGCACTTGACGAATTTCMACATTATATGGCATYATACTTGCAAATATAGAAACTACTTTTCGGGGTTGAAGTTAAGGTTCGTTAACTTCAGCATTGAATAGAACTGCAAAGCAATTCAGTGTTTAAAAGTTCGTTATGGGAAATCAGTGACAATGGTCGGATTACCAATATCATTTTGTACTGTTGTTCTGCGAAAACCTTTTCAATGACACAATAAAGTACTTGATACTCTTAGAACAGTGCGTATCCATTCTTTTCATGTCACATTCCAATTCATGCATGAATTGTTTATTGCAATATTTATTACTTCTGATTGAAAACATTGGAGCATACAAAAAAAACAAGAATTCAAATTCGCTCAAGTTCAACTTCAAGTTTTTCCTCGGAAATCATGGTATTACAAAGTAATAGCATGGCTTCCTCGGGAGATTAGGGATTAAATGTCCCTCAGCCTCGGGCAGATAAGTAAAAGTCCTTCCTGCCTGCGGCCGTCGGGACTTCAACTTATCTGCCCTCGGCTTCGGGGACATTTAATCCCTAATCTCCCTCAGAGCCATGCTATTACTTATAACAAAAAAACAATATAATTAATAAACAATCTCAGTTATGTAGTTGATATAAAACAGTATCATATCAATAAATGTTTACTAAGATTTAATAATTATACCTTATATATTTAGCAAAGAGCTTAGGTTAGGTTTAGTTCCCTCTGAAGGAAAGTTTGAGTTTGCCGAAGCAGAGATCTTGAGTTTCAGGGAGATTTTGAGCCCAATTTCTGGGTTTATTTGTTCTCTTTAAGGGAAATTAAAGAACGCCATACGACCAGCACTGGTCAAAAACAAAGCGAAGCATTTGGACTTTTGTTTGCAAACAAACCACATAAAGTGCGAATATCACACTATAACCAATATTAAGACCCAGTATATGTATAACACTGCTGAGGAAATCTGGCACCATAATACCTATACATGACAGCCGGACGTGTTTCTTGTCAAAGAGAGAGGAAACAWTTGGCTCATAGGCCAGGAAAAGAGACGCATCATTATGCCATATTGTGGTACTCTAATGGTTTTTTGATAGCTTCAGTTTTGGCAAGTCAAATTTACATATTTTGAAAATCTTGAAAATCTCTTATTTTTTATCCCCGATTTGCACGTATCATGAACTTCTCAATAATAAGAGCACAAGTTTTTGAAGATCATTTTCTTTTATTAAAAACTGTTTCAGTTTGATTTCAAGCGAGATGACCAGTTACCCTAATGTTTTTTTTTTGTACAAAATATTACACTTCCATCATGCTTTGCAATACATTGCGTCATAYCTGTGCCTGCTTGTTATTTGTCACATTTGTTYGGCGCCAATGTTTCTTGCTTTAATTCTTGCGGTGAAAAGCACTAATCTATTAATTCTAGAAACTGCCTCAGCTTAATTTTAGTTTTTTAACCAGCTACATTGCACGCATTAAACTAGTTGACTGGTGTTTGCACCAAGACGGATGAGGAAAGACATRGCMGCGCGCGCGTACAGTGGGGCGGAAAGTTTGAGAAACTTTAAGCAAAACTTTTCTACTCTCATTTYGTAAATAAGTATGAACTGACTATCATCTGTGTAATTTTGGTTATGTCGCAATGATAAAAATGCCCTATTTTCAATCGCGCATATTTAGACTAAACCCCGTTCCMGGCTCCCTCTGTCAGCTTAAATCAAAATAAATTTGAYTCTGGCGAGTAGCAAAAGAATWCAGCGTCATAATGAAATATGTTTATAGGATAACCTGGGAAGGTGCGTAATTTAGGTCTAAATTGAGGTCATTTACGATGTAGCTTGTCAATGTTCAAACCTATGAGATCTGTCTATGATAGCTTTTCTAASTTAACATCTTTTGGAGAATCCTATAAATCGTTGTTTCTTGTTAAAGAGTCTYGCAGTTCTTTTTATTGTATATTACTCGACAGTTAGCAATAGCTATGGCAACAGGCTATCGCCATCACTTTTTCTTCTTGCTTCTATGTGATGATGGACAGGAAATTCAGCTTCTACCATAATTATTATTAGTTTCTAAATAATACGTTGTCAGCTACATGGTGACTGTTTCCTGAGCAACCATTGTCTCTAGGGACACCTTAACTCACCTCCAGYTGATTTAGTGTTCTGGAGTTACATCAGTAAAACCTAATGATTTAATTGAATTGTTTTCTGTTCCTGGTCAATATCTGGACAACACTTTTTATCAATTAATAAGAGATGTCTGTTGATAAAAACAACTTTATCGATGGAGACATTCCTTTCAAGTTGCCACCAAGTGATGGTGTTGTCACGTGATATTCCCATTGCTACCATGGCAACGTCATTGTAATTGGACCATGGTTTAGGTGTGGTCACGCACTATCTATTAATGCCCGTTCATACTTTATCATACGATGTGATATATATCGTGGGCTGTTCAATGCCGACAGGTACCGTACTGGTAATCATTGGCTTAGTGCGAGARGGAGGATCTGGCCACGATTCAGAAGTATCTGGCTTTAAATTGGCTGATGCTGTGCTGAATGAACCGCTATATCGTGTGTTCCAGCGGTAAACTATTAGGATGGTTATAAATATAGAGATAGCAGCAGCTACAACTGTGATTGTGATGACCCATACTGGAACTATGCGTTGGGYTGTGCTGCCGTGTTGGTTGCCGTAGATGAGGTTAGAATCAGTGTTGTTATCTATGCTGATAGAGGACGGCCAATAATCTGTGATCGAGACAATGCTGGTTAATATCTGCGCTTTTCTAATTTATTAAAGCCATTACACGAGATATGCCTTTTTCTATTCAAAGTGAGTAACTGCTGTACGTTTAAATTGAAAAAAAAACAACTAAAATAAATGGTGGGAACTACCAGTAAACTAGTGTGAGCTGCGTAGCTGAATGCTAACTGGGGATATACGCATTAGTTTTCAGTGACTGTGCGCAGCAAGCCTATTTATGTGGTCTGCTGGGCTGCCTGTGGGCCTCTGGCACTATTACAACGTTAATTCTTGTTGATCTTTCTTCGATTCTCATAAAAAAAAAGATGACAGCTCAAGAAATGGAAGAACTTTTTCACTGGCAAAACCCACAAAAAAAAAACAGTTCCCCATTCCTTCCCAAGGTACACTCGGTAAGCATAACGCATTCATAATACCTGTGCTAGATGCTGTTGTCGTCATTCCTCTGCCTGTCACGCAATCTTCGTCGTCACTTCCCATGCAATTCATTCCAGAACCAGTCAACTCCGGTTCAGTAACAGCTTGAACAGTCACGATAGGTGGTGCTTTTGTTGACCATACATTTGCGTTTAAAACAACACCATGTTTAGAGAACAACTTGTCCTTTGTATTCAAAAACACTTCATCTAAGACTTTATATTCGTCRAAACGAAGCTGCTGCAAAACACCGCTAAAGTTTTTTCTAGAGTACGATTCTCTGAGCGCTGCTCGTGAAGGTCCTCCACCAAAATAAATCGCTTTATTGCCTCCTGATAATGGTAGACTTGACAAGGAATGTCCAGGCGTCCAACCTTTCTTTGTCACACGGCCATCAAGTATCAAGGTTACCTTATGTCCATGTCTTCTCACCTCCACCCAATGCCATTTGTTATCGTTTAAATTATTATTTCCTGCGTTGAGGACGAGTTCACCTGTATGGAGAAATATATTTAAAAAGGTTATCTTTTTATTGGCTGAGATTCATCCTGCATTCTGATTGGCTAAGATTTATCCTGCATTCTGATTGGCTAAGATTTATCTTGCATTCTGATTGGTTTAGATTCATCCTGCATTCTAAATGGCTAAGATTCATCCTAYATTTTAATTGGCTGTGATTCATCCTGYATTCTGATTRGCTAAGATTWATCYTGCATTYTGATTGGTTTAGATTCATCCTGCATTCTAAATGGCTAAGATTCATCCTAYATTTTAATTGGCTGTGATTCATCCTGYATTCTGATTRGCTAAGATTWATCYTGCATTYTGATTGGTTTAGATTCATCCTGCATTCTAAATGGCTAAGATTCATCCTAYATTTTAATTGGCTGTGATTCATCCTGTATTCTGATTAGCTGAGATTCATCCTGCATTCTTATTGGCTGAGATTCATTCTGCATGCGTTCTGATTGGCTGAAATTCATCCTGCATTCTGATCGCCTGCTTTACTAGAAGATGGTGGATCTACCTTACTAGAACGACATTGCTTTGATGCTCGGATCATTTTTGAGGATTTTATGTAAACATTGGCCGAAAGTATTATATGTTCACTAACAAAGTCATTTTTTGAGAGGTCATTCAGAGATCATACGTACTGTTCCGGATGGAAAGAAGAAATGGTAATGTAGAGTGACATCTTTTTTGGAGAAAAGTATATAAATAATTCTTTCATGGTTCGGAATTCTTGAAACAATGGAGGCATATTACAAAGAGCTTTTATAGAAGATAAAAAAAAGTTTTGAAAGTTAGAGGAGTTTAAATCCGTGATTATCAGCTTCAACCTTCATAATCAATATTCAATTGCTTAACTTTTTTTCARCCAWTGACCTAGAAGGGAATACATGAGCCCATGGYGCTGCTCGATAATTCCAAAATTCAGCGGTGACACAAATTTAAGTTTARTGTACGATAGATCAATATAATAACAATTTTTTGGAGAATAAACAGTACTGTTACCTTTCCCAAGATTAAGTTTCAGAACAATGTTYCTATCCAACATTTCTATCACCAAAAAWGAGCGACGCACTGCTGTATGTAGAACCACGCCCTCAACGGATGAAGTCCGAAAACGAAATCCAATGTAATTCTTGAGGGGRTTGTGTTGTTTCGTGTCTTTCGTAAGATTGTACTTTATATAGCCTGTACCATTTAGCCATACTGAGGTCGATGCTAAACGAGAAAATAAGAAATGTTTTCTAACCAATAATTATTAGTCGAACACAGAGAATATTTCTATCAGGTGAAGGGAGGAAGCTTCGTCAAGTAAGGTGCAGGAATTTTTGAAATTTGAACCTCGGAAATGCGATTACCAGCATTTTAAGGAGCTTCGAGAACATATTTTATGCATTGAATCTATGAAAATTGTACTCGACACTGCCAAAAGGCATAGGGATTAAAATAAGTTGAAGTTTCATTCTCATGAGCTGAGCTCATGAGCTAAGCATCTATTGCTTTTTCTAGGTACCTATTCATATCATTATATTAGAATCAACATATTTTTGCAAATTAGATGAATATTGGATATGAATAAATAAAGATTGATTGATTGATTGAAATGAGTCCATCTGGCCCCCTCTCCTCCCCCCCCTCTCCTCCGTGATCATCCGAAACGCTATTCGTCCATGTAAGAAAGCTTGTGCATTGCAAGACTAGTCAGATTTGAATTGCCCTATCACATAATTACGTCACACCAAAACATTTTATTGCTAAGGATTATGGTCTCCAGAGCTAAGGGGGTCAGAGTGACTGCATATCAAATAAAATGTAGATGACCTATCGTTATTAAATTGTATACATCAAAACTCGATACACTAAAGCTCTACTTTTGGAAATAATGTTGATAGGTCTAATTCTAAGTCTTTCTGAGCATCTATCCACAATGTAAACATACTGTGACGTCACTATGCCATAGAGCAATTGGTCCGCCATTTTTATAATCGATATAGATGATCAWCAGCATTGACCAACATCACTCAATATMWYAATCAAYAYGYCATCATCAACGTCATCATTAAACACGTGATCATWRACGTCATAATCAACATGCCATCATCAAYGTCATCATTAAACACGTGATCATMAACGTCATAATCAACATGCCATCATCAACGTCATCATTAAACACGTAATCATCAACGTCATAATCAACATGCCATCGTCATTGTTATCATTAAACATGTGTTCATTGACGTCATAATCAACATTCCGTCATCATTAAATACGTGATCATCAACAATGTCATAATTAGCATGTTATCATCAACATCGTTGAAATCAAATCACTCCAATTAACGTCATTTATTCGTAACTATTATGGTTTCTAATGTTTTATGGTTTCGATTGCGTTTTATTGTTTGCCTCCAATCACTACCCTGCTGTCTTGCGCCGTTATAGTTTCAGTTTTAAACTGTTTTATATCATTGTTATCAAGCATCTTTCCATTGGTATTCTGGCCCAGAATGCTACTGGCTGAATTGATTAACCTTATCAACTCTTGCCTGAGTTCATTTTCGACTATATAACTAAACAASGTTTAGGCATTTTGTCGTGGGTGTACTGGCTTRTYCATTCTAGYAACTTGGTAGTAAGGGATTGGAAATAAAGTTGTCATGAGAGCCTTGCAGGTTCATACAGAATAACAGCTTCGGCACATTGAAATCCACAGATAAAAGACAGATATCAATGACCCCACGTAWCGTGCACCATACTGTCCACCCKGCATTCAGCGATTTTGTCAGAACATCTCAACGACCCTCAATCGCAAWGGACAAAAATGCCTGATTAGATTGCAAGAACTCAGATCGCAACGTATTGTAAATTTCGTAAAAAAAATTCCAATCTGTTTTTACTATCAATTTTATTATTTTTTGAAGTTTTCTAATTAGCTTTCTTATCTATTAGTTGGTATGCGTTTGTAGATTTGAAAATAATAAAATAGCATCATCAAAATTCACTTGATTTGGATGCAAACTGCATGTAAGTTTGAAATTCATTAGATTTATGAATCCAATGTCAAGTCAGATAGCAAATTAATCAYTTTTTCTTGGCCACACTTGTATTGCGAAGACAAAAGCTCAGAGACATTTTGCAAAATGCATCATTTTCGGTCCAAAGCTGAATGCATAAAACAAACCACTAGTTTAACCTCTGAACCACAAGCCTTGCTTTCCAAGTCTTTCAATAAGAGTTGTGGATGTTGATATAATATTTATTATATTCAATTTACGGCTTTTTACGTTTTGCGGAGAAAAATGTAAAGATCATAAAGAGATTAATATTTTCAATCACGAATAACAGTAAAAATCACGAAATAGAAGCAAAGAAAGGGAGGCTCATGACAACATTATAACCCAGTCAGTTCTCTCTGGAATTTAAAAAAATTACAACTTCATTCAATCTGTTTGAAAAAAAGTATAGTCCCTTTGACACTTGTGAATCTGTCTCAAGCCAAGGTCACAAAAACACAGACAAACAAAAGACTTAATTCAAAATAAGTGATTGTTTTGTAATTTCTTTTTCACTGGAAGAATAATAAAGTATTAAAATGAACTGATATTTTGGTCAGGGTTTGATTGATAGGCCAGCTTTACCAAGTTGTAGTAAACACGTTCATTCATTCATTCATCTTGATTACGTTCATTAGTAAAATTTACGCGCGACTCGCAGATGAATTTAATTTACAACGCGCTTGCGACTCGTACAAAAGCTAAACCAAATTCTCAGTTAACATGTAACAGACGGTTTTTGATCATCATAATATATTTCTACATGTGAAAATATATAAAATTTCACGTAATTTCGTAAGTGTTTTCATTAGTACGAGACAACCTTTTGACAGCAATTGTGGCCTGAAAATGAAGTCAAACTGAAASTTCATGAATTGACATCTAGAGTAGTTGAATTGACAGAGTAGTTTCCTTTTTGTTTTAGCTCCACTTAAAATATGTATTTAATAAGGCTCATAGTAACAAACGTTTTGAAGCAGAATGTTGTTGGAAGTTGTCATAATCACCAGTTCTTAAAGATATGGGAACATAAATAAAMGCAGTCTTCAAATATTGAAACACTGCAAGTTTCACCTGCAAAGTTACCGCTGTAAAAGACAGTTTTTCACGGCGTTTTTTTTTCTCTCGAAAAAGTAGAACGGTAACACGGTTTACCTTACTTGATTATATTAGCAATTTTGTAATTTGATAATTATTTTGTTTGTTTGTTTGTATGTCGACTGTTTTCAATCCATATGTATTAAAATGTATTGTTCGGCTAAACTCTGTTGACAACATCGATCGAGTTCAGTAGTATAGTGATATAACGGGACAAATCGAAAGCTATCTTTTATAAAAATGTAAAAATGTATCTGAAATATTAACATTACTCTTGTTATTAGAAAAACGCTTATTTATATACATGCTAAAAAACGCTTTTTGCTTGACATTGAATTTTGTCTGCGAGTACACCCTGATAGGTACTSCGACTGAATAATTTAGTACTCCAATCCCGATTAAAAACTAGAAAAAGCTTTAAACTTAACATAATTCTTTGATTAAATAAACTAGTTTTACAATGGTTTTTGAATGCGTTRGAAAACCATCAAAATTCAATATGCTTTGAACAAACCTCGTGTGCAGTCTTGGCCTTCATACCCAGTCTCCAGGCAATCACACTCGGTTATCTTCTGACCGCATCTCTGGCCTTGCTTACACTTCTTGATAAATCCGTAATGCCGAGTACATGCTCGTTTGCAGTCGGCCGTCGTACCTGAGGTGTTTCTCAGCATTGCAGACGTGAAGTGCCCATGCGAATCGCTATATTTTACTCCACTAATGCAACCCACGAATCTACAAGAACAAAGATAGACAAATACACAAATGCATRACAATAACTCTTTGTGAAAGCATTAAAAAAAACTCAGCCAGAATTGATTGAGTTTTTWTTTGGCTGTCCAACGGTTATGTTATTTATTATTCATAGAAGATTTGAGCTTTTAAAGTATCAATAATTTATGTGCCATGCTTTTTGAAGGTCATGGTTTTGCTCTTTTTACTAAAACGATGGCTGAAATCTCSCTTAAACAGCTGCGAATGTCGAAAAKAATAGTYAAAATCACTGCCTAGAAAAATTCAATAAAAAGTTAMTTTACGAAAATGATTTACAGTTAGAATTTGATATGCTSYTTWRRAMYTKRAAAAAAAATCAGRTCKCTTGTTAACTTCAAATGGAATCAAGATTTCTYGAGTAGAGCTTCATACTCGGTGACCTTCGAAAATAACATTTTCACTTAAATTGATTAATTAATTGAATCCGATAGCATAACGGACTTAGACAAATGTAAAAAAATGTTRTATACAATTAATAGTACTGATGTAAAATCGTGTAAAACGTAACAATGGCAAATCTTACCCATGTCCATACAGAACTTCATGAAATGATCCAGGAAAAGCCAGTGAATTTAGCGAGATTTCCACGGGAAARCCKCCTACAAACAGAAAACTTCGCGCTTTGAATGAGTCTTTTGTATCACATCTCATGATCTTAGAGCTAAGATGATCCACTTTAAAATACGTRTTCTTAAATTCTCTAAAAACTCGAACTCGATGCCATTTATTATCCGAGAAATTCCCCTCAATGAATTCTTCAAAATGATCCTTGCATTGTCCAATCTGTAGCCTCATTCTCGCTCTGCCGTTTACAAGAAAGATGTCGATGAAGTCCATTCCTTCAGGTTCATCTTGATAGATCAGAAAAGCGTTCTCCCTCGGTGTTTTAAACTCGAATAAAAGAGTTCCGTTAGTCGAGCCATTCCAGGACGCAAAGATCGCRTGTGCAAAACTTTTATTGAACCTTAAAGAAACAGTCAAACTTGGCACAAAACATAGTAAAAGGGCAATTAAAAGATCTCTCATTGTTCGACATCAATTGCGTTTCCTCGCCATAATGGTTGATGAAATGATCGCTTAGTTTGTGCGCCCGCCGGGTACAACATGGACATCAATTTCATTTCTCTTTTACACGATGTCTTTCACCAATGATTCAAGTTGAATGCGTCATTCAAGGCCTGGTTTTTYCTTATCAATGGCGCCTAAACACACGATTGGCTTGAATTATCTGGGTTTGTCTTCTTTTAACTCATATACGAACACAATAGACTTGCGCGGACAACTCTTTTTTCCCTCKCAGAAAAGTATTTCCTCTTTATAAGTTCTTGCTAATCTAATGGTTGCAAACTACACTTCTAACGCAAAAAATCCTCGGAACTCCAGTGCGTTCTCGTGTAGAAAACTTGTTGTTTTAAGCCAGGATTCCTGTAGTTCTAATCGCTATGCTTGTAGTATTTTTTTCCCTTGATGCAACATCTGTTAAGTCGTGATCACACTGATTTGGTCGATCGTGCGCGTTTCTGTTTTGTGAATGAAATAACTTGCTATTCACCAGTTTACCAACCCGCCCACGCCATTCAACATAGCATAAAGAATAATAAAAACATATAAAAAAATCGAACAGTACTGATTCATGTTAAAAAAAGTAGATTCAATTGATCAAAATTTCTACTATCAGCGATAGTGTCCACGTTGTGACTGAGGGGACGAGAGAAAGACAATCTCTTATCTGAGCAATTTTACTCCGAGACTCTTCAGAAGAAACATTAACTGAAAAACACCAAGCATTTGTTAATGGCAAATTGTTGAATAATTGAAAGATATGAAGTAATAATCCACTGCAAAAACATTTGATTTCTTGAAATTTTGAACATGATTCCGAGTTTCCTAGAGCGCGCAAGGTTTATGATCAGAAATTGAATAATGAACTATTAGAAAGCTTTAATCATCAAATCATATGTCAAAACCTAGACAGTATAATAGGTTGTAAAATTGAGCCCATTGACTGAATTGATCCCGGCTTCATTGAAACTCTGTCTACTACTAGTGAATTCTCCAAACCACATTATGTTTTCAAAGAAACCCCAAAAACCACCGTTCCGAAATGCTGCGGCGCTATTGGCTGAATCGATGGTGTTTCCTGTCATCCTCAGTGTTTAGTTAGTCAACTAATCGCATAATTTGATGGGTATAATTCCTCTTAAAAGAACGTTCAGTGAATATTGTTGAATCTTCAAATTGAARTTATTGCAMAGTTAAGCAATGATTTCTAGAAGATTGTGTAGACTGTCACGTGATATGTACGTAATAACTTTTGATTGGTTGACGCCAAGAACATTTCAACCATTTGTGTGWGTGGATTGACTAATTTAGCATGTGATCGTTAGAGTTATTGCTCCAATTTAGCTTATGTTGCTTAGAAGGGCACCCGCACGCCCAGCCTAAAAGTAGCATACTGAAAAAAACGRARGAGAAATTTAYATAATTGCTTCCTATCACGAGGATGAGCCGATCGTCCAATGACAAAATAAGTGCGCGCGCTGTTCCGTGATGTAATGCGGAGTAGACAATTAACATAAAAAGAATCACGCACGATATAATTATATAGAGGATTGCTCACAAACAACTTTTTCCATTTGTCTGTAAATTTATTCTACACACGTTCATTATCGGTTCATCCTTTAAGATTMCAAACAAAACGTCTATGGATGAGATAGTATTAATCAGCCTGATCTGTGGTCCGAGAATCACGTTCGTCTTTACCAGCTTCCTCGTCATTTTGCTTTTTTAGTTTTTCATAAATTTTGTGTCTGTTTCGATAAAGCACGACATAGTGTGTGATCCCTTTGTTGCAAAAAGCAAAGGCGGCGATGTCTGCAACCACCAATAGTAGCACGACGCCTATAGACAACGTAACAATAGAGCCACTGGAGAGGTCGGTCGGTCTTGTACAGTGATAACCGCCTTGTCCCTCGTAAGCATCTCCAGTTTTGTGTCCAGTGAGACGGTCGACGCACCAACATTTTTTAAGGTGAATAGAACATTGGACACTGTGGTATAATCCATCGTCATCGCAAATAGGTCGATACTCGAGGCTAAGGCGAGGGTCTTGACCGAGTATGATGTCTTTAGCACATTGAGATTTGTCTGAAGGAATTTCAATCAAGTTGAASTTGACACTTGCRAATCCATCTCGATTCCTCACTTTGCATTCGTACTYTCCGAAGTCTTCGTCACGGTAAGGCGTGACTTGTAATTTAGCCRATCCTGGCAATGTGTTATCAATCACTGTCACACAACGTTTGCAGTTCTTCAGTATTTCCTTGTTCTTTATCCAAACTACTTGAGGCATTGGGTAACCGCTGTAACGACAGTGCAGGGTCGCGCGGGCRCCTAAGGTGGTTCTCTCTGTCTTCTTTATCTTTGATTCGTCAATGGAAGCTGGTGTCCCCCCACTGCAATCCTTCAGGCAGCACAATATMAACAAGACAAAAAACTGCCATATCATTGCTGACGTCATGCCTGTCTAATTAATGATGTAATACTAATTAGATAATTAGCAGAGGGAACCCTCCATTTCGCCAAGTTGTCATGATAGAACAAGTTTAGGTTTCTTTACAGTGATTGTCGAACAACATTAGTAACTAAAATACATCCGTAGATTATAAAACAGCAACAGTTGGAAGCATTGGTATTTGTGCTATTGGATCAAACAGAGTAATACGTTACACTTGCTCAGTCGAGAAAACTCGAAATACAACAAATGACGTTCTTCAATCCCATAATGCATTTGACCGAGATAGTTCATGACGTCATAAATGGATAGAAACGYTGACCAAGGTGACCATTGTCACTTTGTTAAATGATTGCATATGCACGAGGTTACAGGAACAYCTTTGTGATCAAAGAAGAGACTTCTCATTATTACAAAGCTCAGTGCCGCCGCTGAGATGAAGTACAATCCGACGCCATTTTCTAGAAYAATGCATGGTTGGTAGGAAGTTAAGTCCTTACAATATATTTCATGTCTGCTGAAATAATCCCACCATTTTTTTAAAGACATGCAGGTGGGATATGATTTTCTTTGTTGAAGAAAATAGCGTCACTATAATTCATTTACAACCGCGGTCTTCAGGATTATTACCTGCCCAACTTCCATCAAAAAATACTTTGAATCAAGCTATATGTATTTTCTTTCGTGTTTTATTCATAAAGATAAGACTAATGAAAAATGACAATGCTGTCAGATGTTATGATAATTATAACAAGAATGATCCTGCTAAAAAAGCAAACTTTTCAAAGAAATTTGAATTCAGAAGTATGCAAACATGTGTCTTCACGAGATATTCGTGAATTTTGGTATACCCGAGAGTACAATGATTACATTTACGGGTCTTCATATTCGCGAGGACTTCATATATTTCTGCATTCGGCGAAGCAACTAAGTTTACCTTCTTAAATCTTGTTTACTGTTGAAGCTTCGTTCAGAAATGTTCCTATATCCTGCTTGTCAGGCACGTGGTTGTGCGAAGGGTGGATCTCCTTTGCCAGGCTCTCCGTCAGRTAACAAGTATCCCCTCTATGGTTCAGTGATATCTCAAGTGAGGGTGGATGTAGTTCTACATTTATGTTGGCGCAGYCTGCGCCATGAGTAAATCAGGCTGCCGGATAATTAATATCAATATTTTGTCTATATGAAGTGAAGTTTGATTAAGAAACAGAATTCTATTCAGATGTTGAATGATTTTTAGTGTCATTAGGAATGTTAAAGTTGACCTTCTTCCGAAGTCCTCCATTACTGCGGTTATTGTTATTTATAGCTATCGTGCTTTCATGGTTCTTCACGAGGATTGAGCTAACTCGACTCCGATCTATTTCATCMRWTGCGCTTTCAAAGTTGGCTTTTGAATCCGTTTCCGTGCAGTCCGCCATATTCTTTTCTTTTTCCTTTGCTTCARTATTTTCAACTTCATCTTYGTTTTCATCGTCCGCTGTGCAATTACTATCCTCACTATCTAAGTWAGACGTAGTAGGAATWTGATTAACTGGTTGGTTGTYGAAGTCTTTCAGAGTAAACAAACCCATTACACATCCTGCATAAACAAGAGGGCTACGATACCCATTAGCCATTGCGCGCCTGGCTACGGCTACACGCTCAAGAGCTTCTGAGAACAGCGTACTTTCCATGGACCGCTGTCCAGTTTTACAGTAGTTGGCGAAATCTTCACAGTTGTTCCCKACAATGTTGTAATGACTGAAGCCATCCTTCAAGGCTTGACGAGCTCGTTTTACGACTAGTTTTGGATCATCGCAATCCTTTGTGGTAAACGTACCTACAAGCAGCAAACATGAAGAAAAAAGTTAAATTTATTTTCACACATTTTTAAAGTTTCATGCCTCTTAATTTGATATTGCTTAACCCTCTTTTCTACTCTAAACTTTGATTTTATCTTTCTCA